ATATATTCTAAATATATACAGAAAATATGCAAAGTGTGAAAAAAATTAAAAAGTAAAACTATACTTTGTACAAAAAATCTCAACACAAACATATGCACAGAAATATATATGTCACATTGGTATAAAATAAAACTGGAGCAGAGGAAACCTCTTTTTTCTGTCACCGTATGAAAACCGTCCCTGAAACGTTCTCTGATTGTTCGTGCGCTAACCGAGCTCCGGTCCGTTTCAGGTGTGGAGGACGGTGGGCTGGAGGCTGATCGCTCTGTCGGCGTCGCTCTACGGCCTGCTGTACCTGTACGAGAGGCTCACCTGGACCACCAAGGCGAAGGAGCGATCCCTGAAGCGCCAGTTCGTGGACTACGCCTCCGAGAAGCTGCAGCTCATCGTCAGCTTCACCAGCGCCAACTGCAGCCATCAGGTCCAACAGTGAGTCCGAACACAACGACACGGCGCCGTTCGTTCAGCTGCTTATTAGTAACTTTAGGATATTTAATAAAAGAAAGTTTTGCCTTCATGCTGTGAATCTTCTCTGAGCTACAGGTCCTTGAAGTATTAATGTGAGACTTCAATTTTAGGCTTAGTCTGAACACTGGATCTGGTTTCTGTTCCGCACCTTTTGTTTCTTTCCCTAACATTGATAATTGTTGGTTTTGGCCAATTATTGAGTCATTTTAGACTATTTTAATGTTATTCTGAGCAAATTTTCAGTCAGTCTGGATCATTTTCCATCACTGTGGACAAAGTTTGAGTCATTTAGAAAAAAATGGAGTCATTTTGCAGAATATTCGAGTCATTTAAGACGATTTTTGTGTGATTCTAAACCCATTTTCTGTAATTTCAGATAATTTTAGAGTCATTTTAGACAATTTTACATCCATCCAGGAGTCACAGTCTAAAGTCTTTTCTATAACCAACTGTGAGTATCGATATTATGGGATGTATCATGTTTCAGTGTCCCAGAGACGTGTAAAACGATCAAAACGTGACACTAAAATACAAAAACGAGACATAAAATGACACAAAACAAAACATAAAATGCCTGAATCTAAACATAGAGCAAAAAATAAAAAGAGAAAATGACAAAGATGAGCTCAGAACAAGAAAAACGAGACGCAAAATGAGCAATTAAATCAGTTTTACATCCATCCAGGTGTCACAGTTTAACAATTAAATCTGTTTTTGGTTCATTTTTCTTCTCTATCCAGCTGGTAGCATCAGTATTATGGGATGTCTCATAGTGTGAACAGTCAGACTGCAGCAGTTTAACGTCACAGAGGCATGGAAACAACCATTGGTAGCCTGGATGTGTTTCTGGTTTCTGATCATTCACCAGAGAAAACCTTACAAAGTGCATTCTGGGTAAACTTTCATGTGTGATGGTGGTTGGTCAGAACAAGTTCTAGACTATAAAAGGATCATTTTACCTCCAGAACCTACCAGGACCATCTGTAGACAGGATTCCTGTTGTGCTGAAGCTGTTTTCTACTGTATTTACATTTTAGCTTATTTAGATGTAGCTTCTACCTGTGAATCCAGAGACAGCGTTAGTGTTTACATGTCTAACAGAACAGTTCTGGTTCTGGTTCTGTGTGTGAGCGGTGGTGATGTGTCATCCTTCACTTCTACGGCTGCAGCACTATTCAGGAGCGATAATTCTGTCGGCTTTCAGAGCTCCATCCTTGAATATTTCATGCGGTTATCCCAAAATATATCCAGAAAAAGTAGCATAAATTATACAGCGTGACATTTCCACCCTCCTACCCTCACGGGCCTGTAACCCTGAACATATTCACAGAATGGAGGTACAACTGTCACGGCTTCATTAGACACTCTGGAGGTTTTAGGTGCTAATTTGATGCTGTGTTTAGTTTCTCTTCTCCCTGAGTCCCGCTCCACCCTTCCCCTCCGCCGCCTCTGTGGGCTAAATAAATAAGCAGTGCGACGCTGTGCCCTCTGCGTTTCCAGGGAGATGGCGACGACCTTTGCTCGGCTCTGTCAGCAGGTGGACCAGACGCAGAAGGAGCTGGAGGCCGAGATCCGTCAACTGACAGCCAAGATAGATCAGCTGGAGACGGTCCAGAGCCGCTCCAAGAGCCTGAGGTCAGTCCGGCTTTTACTGGGACGCAGCAGGACGGGCGGAGATTAGACGTCTGTGTGGGAGTTTAGCGAGGATGCTGCAGGAACAGCAAGACGAGGACAGACACTGTACATTCAAACATACTCAGACTGAAATCCTTGATTGTTTTAAACTTTGCTCATTTCAGAATCTGTGCCACATTTTAAAAATTAGACACGTAGAATAAAAGCTTCACTTGATTCTACTTTGATGACGTGTCACCATTTCAAGTTTGGATTTGGTTCATTTTCCTGATTGAACGTCACGTCACAGATGAGCAGTTCAAGGACTGTCGGAAAGGTCAAAATCTGAGGATTTTTTAAAGTTTCTGTCTGTGATAAATGCTGCATTTTTGGTGATTTAATAATCTGAGTTTACATCTCAGAAACGCACCGACGTCCAGACGTGTTCATGAACATCTACTGAAAGCAGGGGTGTCCAATCCTGGTCCTCGAGGGCCACAGTCCTGCATGTTTTAGATGTTTCCCTCTTCCAACACACCTGATTCACATGATCAGGATCGTTATCAGGCTTCTGCAGAGCTTGATAACGATCCTGATCATGTGAATCAGGTGTGTTGGAAGAGGGAAACATCTAAAACATGCTGGATAGGGGCTCTCAAGGACCAGGACTGGACAACCCTGTTCTACGTGATCGTCTGGATCCGAGGCTGACCTGTGTCCGTTCCCTCCGCAGACATAAAGCCACCGAGCTGGAGAAGCAGCTGGAGGCGTTCACGGCTCAGTACCTGCAGCCTCAGCAGTGACGCTCGTCCTCGCCGCTCCACGACGAGCCTCGACGCACCTCCACCGCGACGGACCGCCGGCTCTGAGGGACGGCGCAGCTGGAAGGATTAGTCGACGAGCCGACTGGTTGAGATGATCCGTGATTTTTTTTTTTTTTAGTCACACCAAAATTTTCCACTTGTCTCAACGAGAACGTTTTGGTATCTGAACTGCAATCTCTCTCTTTTTTTGTGGACATTTTCTAGACTCAACAGTTAATGAAATGAAAAAAAAAAAAACATAAATTGATCAAGTTTAGGGGACAGCGGAGAAACGCTTTCCTTCTTCTCCTTCAACCAGGTGTCTCAGTTACATGAGAAGCGAGTAAACTGTAAAACACAACTGCCTGTAAAACAAACGTCGTGCAGATGAAGGGCGGCGGTAGGATCTCGGTCGGCGTGACCATCTACCGGTCGGGTGCTATATTTTGACACTAGCGTGCTTCTGACTGTGAATATGCCTTTTTTTCTGTTTGTTTTTTTTTTTTTTTTTGGACAAACTTTCGTGGAGCAAATGAAGTTGTGCGTCTGAGAGATTGTACGTGAATCAGTTCAGACGACTGCTGTGTGATCAGAAATCAATATATTTAATAAACACTGGGTTTCGTAATCAGCAGAAGGGAAAGCACGTCGTCAGCTCACTGTAGGTTCGTCTTCTATTTTCTAACAATCCAAAACTGTATAGATGAAATTCTCCATATATATATATTTTATAATACCCTGTTTTATTTATACCCAGTAGACTTCCAGTGACGATTCCACCCGTCTGCACTTTGTAAAAAATTTGTCTTTCTGTTCTTTTCTTGGGAGCGTGTTGAAATACCTCTAGATTTACCAGACTGTATTAAAGCTGCAGTGATCTAAACCTGACGCCTTGTGCATTTATTCAGTTTGATTTGCTCTGTGGTGCCTTTTTACAAGCAGCCGGTGGCAGTGATGTGCCAACGAGAGCAAAGAAGAAGAAGAAGAAGACGACCGCCGATGGGGAGCAAAACTAAATCTGGAAATATTTAAATGTTACAGATGACTTTGCATTTTATAACTGACACCTCAAGAATTCGGAGTTTTGTTGCACACTTGGGGGAGTTTAAATGTACAAATGTTCAATGTTCAGTTTGTGGCCGGTTGGAGCCTCGTTCACTTCCTGTATCTCCACTGTAGCCATCAACAAGGGTTCCATTTTATTTGCAATTTTGATTAAAACCTGTTCAAAACGGGACAAATTTATCCAAAACGAGATAAATACTACACAAAATGACAAGAATGGATCAAGATTGATGCTTGAAAATGGAATAAAAGCAACAAATTTGACACCAGAGTGATACTGGGACCCCATAAAGTTCCTGTAAGTGTGTGTGTGTGTATATAAATATATATGAATATATCCATGTTACCTACTAAAATACAGTCTTTGGTCGACATGTCATTAACTTTTGAGGCTCAAACATCAGAAGAATCTAATGTGTGAAAAGTCTGATAAGGTCCAGGTTCTTTCATATGGTAACATGTCAAAATGAGTCCATTTGTTATTTTTGACCAGATCTGAACAGGTACAAGTAACTTTGGACCAGGGATGTCCAATCCTGGTCCTCGAGAGCCCCTATCCAGCATGTTTTAGATGTTTACCTTCTTCCAACACACCTGATTCAAATGACCAGGATCGTTATCAGGCTTCTGCAGAGCTTGATGATGAGCTGATTATTTGAATCAGGTGTGTTGGAAACATCTAAAACATGCTGGATAGCGGCTCTCAAGGACCAGGATTGGACACCCTGCTTTGGACTAATGTCTGAACTATTTTTGACCATTTTCGTGTCATTTTGAACAAATTTTAAGTGATTTTTTTGCAAGTTTTGGACCATTTTTGCGTCATTTTTTCAGAATAATTTTGAACAAATTTAGTTTCAATTTGGACACGTGCCGATTCATTTAAAAATTCCGGGACATTTTGGGACAAGTTTTAAATAATTTTTGGACACAGACGAAAGTGTTTCCAGCAGATCCAAATCCAAAAGTCAACTGGCTCCAGCAGTTTTTTATTGACCCTTAAAAATTAATAAATTCAAACAAAGGAGGTATTATGACCCCAGAAATTTCATGTAAGTGTATCTATATATGGATGGATCCATGTTTCTACTAAAATACAGTCTTTGGTTGATGTTACACCAACGTTTGATGCTCCAACATCAGTAGGATTTGATCTGTTCCAGTTTTTTGCTATTTTGACATAACGGTGACTCGTTTTTCTGACGAGCTGAACACAGAGTTGTCTATTTTTTATTTTTTTTTGCAAAGAATATCAGTCAGGATTCAGATCCTTGGTTAAAAGCTTTTTTTTTATTGGTTACAATAACTCATGGCAACATATCAGTATCACCAAGCCACTGTACAAATACAAAAAAAAGGTCTGGTGTGAAAAAGACTATAAAAATTATTCCATAACAAGTGATTATAATTTCACACGATAGCACTGTAAGAGAATTATCATGGCACCAAGTCCCTGGTCTTTACTGGCTTAAAACAATAAATACAACAACAACAACAAAAAAAAAAAACAAAACGACATGTCAGAGCAGTAGGTTGTAGAGTCAAAGGGCAGTGCATTACTGTGACGGTGCTGTGGTGGCGTCTTGTGGGGTCACACAACATTTGCTCCTCCTGTTTTCAACATAAACTTCTTTTTTTTTTTCCAGATTAAACCGGAGGGTCGTGCAAAGACGTGTGCAGCAGTGACATTTACACATCTACCACGGAGTTACCGCTCCGGCCGTGAACACAGCTCTGGTACCGTTAAAAGGTGGAGATTCAGGGAATAAAACCGGACTTCAGGTTAAAAACAACGAGTGAAACCAAATGGAGTCAAGCACCTTTAGTCGAGTCGTGAGTTTGCTGCTCTACTTTGCATGAGTGAACTGCACAGGCACGTTTAAGTGTCACTACTCCAGGTCCAGAGTGAAGAGATGGCTGCCAGCTGAGCGTCTGCTTCTTCAGCTGTTAAGGGCTATGGTGTAGTATTTTTTTTTTTTTAAGTTTTTAATCATTATTTGTACATGGCTCATGATGGAATACGAACAAATGGTGGATTTAGTGAAAGGAATAGTTCAGCGCTGTGGGTAAATGCGCTCGTTTGCTTCGAGGAGACGATTGTATCCGTCTGGTGACGCCAGGCTGCTCAGTGTGACTGCAGGGGGCGCTGCTGCACCGATGTACTGAACTCATGCTAATCTTTAAAAAGTGGCGAAAGAAGCATGCAGCATGTTTTCCTTTTCAGTAGGGATGCACGATATATCAGTGACCACATCGGTATCGGCCGATGTTAGCGTTTTTTCCATATATCGATCCGATTAAAAAATTTAGCCGATGATTGTCTGACATCAGCGCCTTTGTCTCTACGTTTGATATCGCTGCTACTTCACAGATGTTTTTGCTTAAATGGTCCAGGACTTAAATACATTTTACTTTTGCTACGTAATAAAGAAGTTGTGGCTAATCTGGCTTCTTTTGAATAGTTTGAATAGGTGTGAACAAAAATTGAATATCGACATCGGTAATATCGGTTATCGGCGACATCAGAAATCTTAATATCGGATATCGGTATCGCCAGAAATGTTAATATCGTTCACTTTTAAAGCTTCCAGGTGGAGATCAAAAGCAGAACATTTGGCTTCTGTGACACCAACGTGGCTGCAAAATGAGCTAAAATGTTTGGGAACTCTTCCCTCAAGTTATTAAGACTGAATATTTGCAAAAACAGTTTGGTAATGTGCGTGCAGCAGCGCCCCCTGCAGTCGCACAAACAGGTCAAGGCTCGGTTTTACCCACAACGTCACACTGCTCCTTTAAGCCGTCACTTCTTCACCTGGGGACGTCTGGTGTCCGCCGGCTGAAACAGAACCTTGAGTCTAACGAAGCGCTGTCAGCTGGACGACACGTTGGGATGCGGGTTTGGCTTTGGAGTCAGACACCGACGCGAGTCCGGTGGATGGAGACGAACGAGGCTGGCACTTGAGTCGAAGTGAGCAAATGTCTTTTTTTTTGTTTGTTTGTTTCATTTTTGTCACACTGACTAGTTTTCAGTTCACAGCTCAGGGTCTGTGGATAACATTGGCACGAATGAGGAAGTAACACTTAGATCTACAGGTAGGTTATCCACATACATCAGCAAATTAATCCCCCTCAACACTGATATGCGATCACATCCTACGCACCTTCTCAGGCTAAAAACTACAACTGGGCATTTTAACATTCTCTCAAGACGGTTAACGCAGAGCCGGTAGAAGCAGCTAAAAAAAAAAAACGGGAGAAAGAAAAAGAATTCATCTGATTGAACCTTAATAAATACTACAAACTTTACGGTGGTAGTAGTAGTAGAAAGCAGAGTTGTATAAAAGGTGATGTGAAGAAGCGGCGGTTCTCCGTACGCATGCGTTTTAGTGTTCACTAGTATCAGAATGTGCTTCTATCGGGGAAAGGGAGAAGAAACGGAGCTCTCTTATCGATGTGAGGAAGGAATAGTAAAGAGAAAAACGTTAGCGACGCTTGTATCAGCTTCTAAGAGTAAGGCAGAATGGAGACGCTCTGGCGCAAAACCCTCCAGATGTGAACGCTGAGCAGCCGATGGATAGGTCCGATGGATAGGTCCGATGGCGCACATCCTCCGTGCCATTCTCTTTTTTTTATTTTTTAAATGAAGCCTTTCGAGGAGCCGAAACGATGGAAGATGAAGAAAAATACTCGAAAAATCATCAGAAATACCACTTCTATGGGTAAATAAGTCACATGTGCTCGATGGTTTTACATTTCGTACTACAGTTTGTGAGTCTAGCTCTCTACGAAGCTTCTGTCTACCGAGTGCACTTTCTTCACTAGCAATATTTAACAGTTCATTACATGATTTTTGGTGAGGAAAGAAAAAAAAAAAAAAGATGCTCAAAGTGTTTTAGAAAAAAAACTTTTTTGTTTGTTTTCTTCTTTTTTTGTGTTTTTTTGTTTTTTGTTTACAGGCTTGTGGTGGCACTGGTGTGATTTCTTTTTTTTTTTTTTTTGGAGCGGCTCACGTGATTTCAGTTCAGTCGCTCGTTTCACACCTTGTTGACGACGTAAAAGGATAAAAATGACACAGCGTCTTTTCTCGGGGTCCTCAGAGTCGCCGTTTACGCTCCTTCGAGACGCTTTAATCGCTGCTCTGGCGTTTGTCCTCACAGGCGTCTCTCTTTGCGTCGGGCAACGTGAGTTTCTCGCCTTTAAGGGAAAAGCGTCGACTCCGCAGGGAGACGTGGACGTAACGATCCGTCCGTCGATCAGGCGTGGGATGGATGTCGTCTTCTGATGAGGATCTGAAACCACTCGGGTGGAAGGCCAAAAAGTTACGTTCGCCTAAAATTCACCTACTTTGGGGTTAAAGCTGGATCCAGACTAAAAAAAAAAAAAAGGTTGGTTTGAAGCTCTCTGATCACAGGACGGTTTCCTTCCAGGACAAACGGCTGCGATGAGGAATGCTTAAAAAACACACAGCCGTCGTGGACAACAGGTACAGGTAGAGGAAGTGATTTGAACTGGGCCAGATTATTGGTTCATCCTCTTGTCGCTGCTGATGAGCTGATGGGCTCCAATTAATCAGCAGGAAATGTTAGAAAATGTACACTTTTACTTGTTTAAATTGTCTGACCCTCAGTCTTGTACTCACAAACGTTTCTGCCGTTGTGTTGCATTACTGTGTGTAGTAATGTGAGGATTTAAAATAAAACACAACACCCAAAATTATTTTAAAAAAACAAAAACAAAACTCAAGGGTGGGAAATAAACTACAAAAATATATACATACACATTATATATGCATATATGATGCATATATACACACATAATGCTATACATATATACTGTCTTTATATATACATTTACATATTACACACTGATGCTAATCTTGTTGGTTGTTAGTCGCGGTAACAGAAGCGCCCTGAAAACAATCGGTGTGAGGGCAAAACCTTTTTTTTTTTCTTCTTTCTCTTTTCTTTTTGATTAGACTAATCTACTGAGAGGTTCTTACTTCTGGGTGGAAAAAAAGGTAGAAAGAGTTTCTCACAGGTGGGCAGGTCACCGGAGGGCGAGTTAAGAAGGTTTGGGCCGACACAGTGAGCGGCCCTCAGGTCCAGCCGGCAGATGAGTCGGGATGTAGACGGGGGGACGAGGAGGAGGAGGAGGAGGAGGATGGATGGATGGATGGATGGATGGATGGATGGATGGATGGAGGGCAGTGATTGAGTACAACAGGCAAGAGGTGTGTTTAGTTCCAGATCCGGAGGAAACTGTCCCAGGAGCCGGTGGCCACGGCCATCCCGTCTTCTGTCACTCCTAAGCAGCTCACTCTGTTGTCGTGGCCCGCCAGGACGCCTGGAGGTCCAAAACACAAACCAGAGTCACAGGACGGTTCAGAAAATCTGCATCCCAAAGAAAGTCAAACTACAGACACGTATTTCAAATAACTTTGGACAACACTCTCTACGTTATTTGTGCCGCTTTAAACCACAGACACTTTAATTTCTTTAGTATTGGAGCTGTATCCATGGAGACTGTAGGAGAAGCATTAACCTCCACAGAAGTCTTCATCATGGTGCCGTTGCTCGCTAAACCCCACGATGCTCTCTGTTTCCCAACACGAACTGCCTGTAGTCTGACTGACTGTTTCCTCTTGACTCTACGTTATTAAACCATAAAAGGCTCCCCCTGGTGGAACATCCAGGTACTACAGCTGATCTATGAAAGGTACATGTTCTGCCTCATCGGTTAATATATTTTTAATCTGTTCAGTTATTAACAGCAAATAACTGACTGACACTTAAAAAATAGAAAATATCACAACTTAAAAAAAATAAAAATAAATTTAATTCTTTTGGTCGTGACACAAATAGCTTCTCTATTATTTACTCATGCTAATTCACTCCTTAACCAGCTGTGTTATCTTAAAACAACAACCAAAAAAAGAGCCAAAGTTGCTTCATTTATTATCCGGAAACTGTAAAAACAAAACAGAATCGTTGCATTTTACGACTTTCCTTGAATTAATCATAAATGATTTGCTGTTCTGTTGGAAAATTTACCCAAATCTAAACCTAAAATCATAATATTTTATCAAATCCCTTCATCCCACATGTCTAACGCTTTGCAATGATGACATTCTGTTAAAAAAAATTAAAAATCTAAATTAGTGTACAGCATTACGTAACAGCTGAACTGCAGGTTGTGTTTACAGAAAGCAGACAGGAGATGAATTGTAAATAAAATATTTATGGTAGTCACCGTTTCTGTCAGAAAATGTAACCAAATCTAAGCTTAAAACTAAATTATGTTAATTTAATTTCAATACCACTTTATTCTACAAGTCTCATTTAGAAATCAGCTAAAAATAGACAATTTGCAATAACCAGAATCTGTAAAAACAAAAACTTAAATCATGAGCTACTTGGTGAACTCAAGAATGTTTGAGTGATTCAGCTGCAACCAGCAGTGTCGTGACAAAAATTCTTTTCGGCTCATAAACACCTACAAACGGCCTCATTTCCGCCGTCTAGAAGTCTGAGAGGCCGCAAGCAGACTTCAGACGCCTTTTACCTGCGCGTTCGCCTTTCAGGGTGTCCCAGACGTTGCAGTTGAAGTCGTCGTAGCCGGCTAGGAGCAGGCGGCCGCTCTTGGAGAAAGCCACGGAGGTGATGCCGCAGATGATGTTGTCGTGGCTGTACATCATCAGCTCCTGGTCGGCGCGCAGGTCGAACAGCCTGCAGGTGGCGTCGTCGGAGCCCGTACCGAAGGCGTTCCCGTTGGGGAAGAACTGCAGGAGAGAAAAGTCGTGAGGACGCCGTTAAATCGGATGTTTCTGAGGTGAAAGGTTTCTTCAAAGATGCTTGTTGTTCGTCTCTTAAGCCTCGCAGGGCGACAAGGGCTGATAAGAGATCAAACAGCCGAGATGGTGAATTTGATATGAGCGATGATTCCAGTAGAGGAAGGATAATAACCAATATTTAACTAAGTTACATAAAGCCATGTTATCACACACGCCCAGTTTAATGGACAGCAATATAAAGACTATAAAGCAGTATCAGTTCGCCCAACAAAGCAGCTCTGTGGCTTCCTGACAGCTGTTTAGAGAGATTAAAAAACCTTCAACCTCCGAAACTTCATCAGTTTAGAAAAAAAGATCAAATTAAAGAGAAAAGAGCTGAAAACAAAAAAAACTCCATCACATTTAAAAGACAAATTCCTCCTCTTGTTATTTGACAGTAATCAGCTGAACGCGTGTTTGTGAGCGACTCACGGTGACGGCGTTGATGTCGGACACGTGGCCGGTGAAGGACTGCCTGCACATGCCGTCCCTGATGTCCCACAGCTTGGAGGTGGCGTCGCAGGCTCCCGACACGAAGGTCTTGTAGTCCGGACTTAGAGACAAACTCATCACGTCGCCCGTGTGGCCGGAGAAGCTGGTGGCCTGCTGGCCCGTCTCGATGTCCCACAATGCACTGCAGGGAGGAAGCAGCGGTTAGGAGAGTTCTGGTGGCGCTGCGGCTATAAAATAACTATAGTTGCTATATTATTATTATATCTTATTGATATTATTTATGTTTAATCCAGCTGCAGCTTAAATCACACCTCATTTAAATGGTCTAATTCTGTTCCTTAAATCCACACAGTCACTTTGCACCTCTGAACCATTTTAGCACTTTGTTTACATTATTGTTAGTCAATACGATATCACACTTTATTCTTATGTCAGTATATTACATTTTCAATTTTTAAGTATAATTTTATTTATCCTATTTTAACAACCACATGGCTGCTGCTACTATTGTACAGTTGTTACCGTTCTGTGTCCAACGATGTACTTAAGCTGCCCCCAGGGGGACAAATAAAGTTGTTTTGAATTGAACTGAATTGAATTAACCTGCCAACTGGGGTATAAAAGGCGTGCTTTTTTTCTTTTAAATCCCCAAATGACAACATTCATCAGAGCAGGAAACTGTAAACACTGACAGATTAGTCTGAGTTTCAACTTTACGACTGTCAGGAATGCAACCAAATCTGAGCTTTCACCAAAATCACTTTGCCTCGTTTAAAAATTTGGCCAAAATACGGCGTTAGCCTCGACTGAAACACCAATGACCAAGAGTCATGTGACAAAAATTCAGGGACTTTCAAGCTGAACTGCGGGCAGTGTTTACACAAAGCAAAGGGATAGTGTAATGAAATCTGAGCTTAAATTATAATATTTTATCATAATCCCTTTATTAGACGAGTCTTATTTATAAATCAGCTAAAAACAGACCATTTGCAATAACCAAATCTGGCTAAAAAATAATAAATAAGTAAAAATTCTTTGCTACGTGGTGCAATCAAGAAGGTTTTAGTGACTCAGCTGCAACCGACAGTGTCATGACAAACTGCAGACTGTGTTTACACAGAGCACGAGGATGGAAACAATTAAAAATACAAGCAGAATATCTGTAATATAGAGCGAGACCATGTGTTCCAGTATTCATAAAACCTGTGGGCACTCGGAAAAACTGATTAAAGGTTTCCTACATTTCTGTAAAATAAATAATCAAAGAAATATTGCCTAAAAAAATCAAATATTTTCTGATTTTTTTGCATTATAACTGTGTCCTACTGTGAAAAAAGACACTTCTGAGCTCGCTCTCCTTTTTCATGCTTGTTCTGTTTCCACAGAGGTGCAGGACTTTATGTTGCAGTAAAGAAAATGACCCTACAGTGAGTAAAAATGGAAATAAGCATCTCCGGCCTGCGCTGTAGCACGAACACAACAGCGTCAGTGGAATACTTCCATTGTGTCAAACTGCTGCTCACCAGGTGGTGTCTCCAGAGCTGGTTAGTATCTGGTTGTCATCCAAGAAGCGGCAGCAGGACAAATAACCTGGAGACAAACAGAAGTTCCACATCAGATAAAAGAGGGCGCTGTCGACTCGGTGCCTCTGGGCGAAGATCTTAACTCTGTAATCACATTGTTTCCCTGATTTTCTTTTCTTTTTTTTTTTTTTTTACTGCTGCTTTAACCACAAGTGACATTTTGTTCTGGTTTGAAAATTTAAGCTTGTATTTTTGAGATAGTAGTTCACAGAGTCGTGTTCATCCACCGCTCGGATAGAAAACAGCTCCATTAAAATGCATCTAATGTGACGGAGTGAACATAACAGAAGAATATAAATGTATTTTTCTTTCAAAAGAAAATCTGGACAAACAATAACAGAAATGCACTCTTCAGGCAGTCCTCTGTAAATTAGCAACAGCTCGTGCAGCCCGCCGTTGTCCGATTCATAAATTCAGCTAATGTGCATCATTGAAATCTAAAGCTCAGTAAGTTGCTGCACAAACAAGCCTTCAACAATTTGTCTGGATTCTATCCCAGTGTTTGAATAATTCCTGCACCTTCTACAAGTCTTATAACAATTTACTACACGCAATAAATTATGTGTAAAAAATATATGTTAATAAAAAATCAAACTTTTGTGAGGCACCTTTATTTTGTGCATAACCCATATACGTAAAATTAACAGATCACCCAAACTGAACTATCACTCAACACCTAAACGAAGACAACTGAGAGATGACGAGGAGACGGTTAGCTGATGCTCGCCGGTTTGGAATCAGCACGGCAACGTCGATTACAAAATAAAGAAAATGACTCAGTGAAGAAAACGCAAAGGAGACGGCAGAAAACAGAGCTCAGACCGGTCTGATAATCATTTGTAAAGCTGTGAGTGTCACGGGAGTAGTGCTGGACCAAACAGTTTACTTCTGTTGCATGTCATCGGACACCAAGTAAAAAATGAAAACTTAGAAAACACTGAACATAAAACAACTTCTATTCTAGACAGAAAATAGAAGAAGGTAGAAGGTTTTTATTGTCAGTTTCTCTATATATCCAGGACATACAGAGGAACTGAAAAGACACTTCTCTCTCTAAATAAAATAAACAAAAATCAAACTATGTACACTGGCGGTAATGCAATATAGTGACAACTTAACATTACTATTTTAGAATATAAACGGTGAGCAGCATGTGGAGGAGCTGCAGAGTCCCCCTTGTATCTGACCTGTGTGTCCAGGTAGCTCTCTGGTGACGCGTACGTTGCCTTCGCGGGTCTTCAGGCTGTAAATGGAGCAGATGTTGTCCAGACCTCCGCAGGCCACGTAGTTCCCAGAGGGGGCGTAGGCGCATGTCATCACCCAGGAAGAGCGCAGCGGGATGGCGTGCATCTGAGGGCGACCAGAGGCATCTCTTTATTCGGCACCGTTAAAGGAACTCGTGTTCGGCTTTTAGCTTGATCACAGTTAACGGCTTAAAGAAATCAAGAGGATGGACTCTGGTGCAAAAGATGCGAGAGAAGTTTAAATGGCATCGATTCTGGATGAAAGAGGCAGTTTACATAAAGATTAAAGATGCCTTTACTGTCAGTGTATGTGAAAATACAATGAAATTCTGTTATAGTAGCAGCGTGGGTCGAAGTGGACGCTGTTTAGAAAATGTCTCATTATATCTGTCTTTAAATATATAAAAATAAAATCTAATAAATACAGGAGTATGCACACAATTCTATAAACTAAGTAGAGTTATGATGATGATGACTGAGTATCTGGAATCACAGTCCAACCCTAAAGTCAAAGTGGAAGCAGGTTTGGCTGCTGAATGTATTTAGGTCATTCCATGAAAGATTAACCAGCGCCTCCCATCTGACCTCCTCAGAACCTGCTCATCTTTTATCTACACTAACTTCAGTGTATTTAATGAAGCCATGTCAAGTTTTACCTTCATACTATGAATACTTTTCTGGTTACAGAGCCTTAAAGTACTTAGAGGTGGGCTGAAAGTCTTTTTAGTTGACTTTTTCCATCATAACTTCATCAGCAGATAGACACATGACATGTTCAGGGCTGAAAAACACATCTTGAGTTCTACTAGAAACTGAAACCAGATCAGTTTCACATCCATCCAGGTGTCACAATCTAAAGATTTAATTTGGCTTTTGTTCTTTAATCAACATCAGGGGCCAGATCATCATTTCAACAGCTTGGAAACGACACATCGGTACACGTATTGTACTTAGTCTCTTAGCACTATGATGGTCGTAATCGCTGGATTAAACAGAATCTCAAATTTGACATTTTGCAAGAGTTAAAATGTGCCTGTAGTGGAAAATAATTTTGAAACAGAAAGAATCGTTTCTGGAAAATCATCTGAAAATGCCTGCTGCAGGTTTACTGTTCAAACTATGATACATCCCATAATACGGATGCTCAAAGTTGGTTATAGAAGATATAGACTGTGACACCTGGATGGATGTAAAACTGATCTGGTGTCAGTTTTTACCAGAACTCAGCTGTGTTTTTCATCCCAAAATGTCATGTGTCTATCTGCTGTACTGGTGAAGCTATGAGGTCCAGATGGGAAAAGTAAATCTGGGAATTTCAGCCCAAACCTGTGCACGTCAAGGGCCTGTAACTCGGTCAGGGGGGAGCTTTTTTTTCCCACATTTGGTTAATTTTGTATGGATCTCAGTGCAGCAGTACACGTAAAGTACCTTATTTGTTGTGTAGCTGTCCCAGATGATCAGCTTTCCGTCTTGCGAGGCACTGACAAGTAACCTAGAAACGAGTTCAGAAGAGCAGCGTGTCAGTGGGTTTGCATGTTTAAAAGGCTCACAAGCTAAGCTACGGTACATGCACCTGGTTCATTAGAAGCAATGAGAGCCAGTCACCTTACAGACTACCGTGCTGCTACCGTCAGCCTGGATTACTACGAGGTGCTCGGTCAACAAGCATTCAGCGTGAGCTCCCTACTCTCCATTTCCCTTCGCATTCCCTCTCTGTCTACTGCTGGAAGCCTCCTCGTCCAGGAAAGCCACTTTTAATGTCCGACGCCATGGAATATTCATGATCCCGGTTATGTAAAAGTCCCCGCTGTCGGTTGGGAGGTGGAGGCACCTGACGGGTCGGGAAAGCACCGGAACGGAGTGGAGGTGGGGCGGCGAGAAGGAGACGCGACAAAACAAAAGCCGGTTTCAGACCCGAGATACGTAACAGCGACGGTGTTCAGTTTTTACTTTAGTGTTCGTCACGAGGAAGCATCGGTACGACGTCAGTCACTGAGCAACACATCAGATACGCATTAAATCTCAACTAACAGCAGTTTGTAGGCTAATAGATGTGAAATTATAGAGCAAAATGAATGAGAAAGGAGCAATTTTGGCACATGAACTGTATTTTTCACCCTCTATGATGCGTTTGGACAAATACTGGTGCTGAAATGTGTTAAAAGTCTTCCCTAAATCACTTCACGCAGCATCAAGTGTCATCTCTTGTGCCTATTTGTCAATAAGAATGTGTGCATTTATTGAAGTTATGAAGTTAAAATCTGCACAATTCCTGGAGACTCTGGTGTGGATCTCGTCTGACGCTTCAGGAAAAACTCCTACAAATAGCTGGAAGCAACAAACTGAACTTCAGCTCCTGTTAACGTCTTGTGAAAAAAAAAGATTATATTAATTATTGGAAAGTATTTGAGTTTGTAGGCTAAAACATGTGAAACTGTAGAGCCAAATGACTGAGAAAGGTGCAATTTTGGCACATAAGCTGTATTTTTTGCCCTCTATGATGCGTTTGGACCAATTTTGGTGTTGAAATGTGTTAAAAGTCTTTCCTAAATCATTTCACGCAACTCAAAGTACCATCTTTTGTGTCTATCTGTTAAATTGAATGCATGCAGTTCAGATTCGTGCCAATTAAAAAACGAAAATGTTTCTCAATCAGACCTGAAATGTTTTTGGTTTTTAAAACAGAAAACCTCATAAGTGCAGCTTCTACAGAAACCTTGCCGTCAGATTAATGCCTGCCTCCCTGAACGGGGGGCTACAGACGGATAAAGGCCGAGTTGGAATTGAGGAGCTGTAGATGGCGTCGATGCGGGAACAGCTTGAACTCCTCCCTCCTATCCTGACTGGGTGTTTCCGTCTCTCCGGGGACAGGAAGGGGTTTGATGGTGCTGCACTACAATCAAGAGCAGAGCCATCGCGCTCAAATGTCAGTCGGTGCCTGTATACAAAATAAACACTGGCCTCCTGCGGGGGTCACCTGGAGGGTGCTGGGCACACCCAAGAACACACTGACAGCCACAGACACACTTCACCAGGACGACAGGCGATCCCACTGATCACGCTTGTAAGAAAACACAAGGTTCACTCAAGACAGCTAACGGGCTCAGAGGAGAGATGTGCGTTAGGGATCGACTGATATTATTATTTGATTTTTTACAGATTCTTGTAATCAAGAACGGCCGACAATTAATAATACACATTTAATGTAATGTTTTACAGCATGTGGCAGCAGGAATCTGTCATTAATAACTAGATTTCTTCATTAATAAGGGCGATTATAACTGAATATGTAAAACAGAAATAAATTATCTCCTCTACTTATGTAGGATCGACTGAGATTGATCAGTCTGTCTCCTGCTGTTCTTCTTTATTTTCTTTCTATTTACTTTCTCGGGTTAATCTGTGGCTGCCTGATAACTGAGCCGCTAGCAGCTAGCATAGCATTAGCCGCTGGGAGAGGAGCTAACTTCCTGGTTTATTGTTCAGCGTTGCCGTTCTCTGCTTGCTTCTAAGACGACAAAGTGACGACAGACAGAGAGAGGAGGCGTCAGACCTGAAGTAGAGCATTCAAATTATCGATAATTCGTCATTACAAATACTGAAAATCGGCCACGATAATCGGCCAGGTTGACAATCGGTCTGTCCCTAATGTGCATAATTGAAGTTCTAAAAACCAACAAAACGTTACCTGCAAAGAAACAGAACCACCGTCATCTTCTAATTAATTTCCTAGAAATTAAGATTAGTGCGCTGCATGCATACTAAAGGAGGGAAACACCATCTGTACAGCTAATACTCTGTGCTCTGTTTCGGTGCTCATAACCGCAGTTAAAAAAGCAGTTTGTAAGTTTGCATCTGATCGACTCGCTGTGTTACGATTGCAGTCCAATTCTGCAGGAATCAAATTTTGAATAATCACAACAGCTGGAAAACCGTCAGAGAAAATAATCTTACAAACTGCATCTTTAAAGGGAATATTAAGTAAGCAAGTGTGGCTATCTGTCTCTGTGCTCACTGTGAGGGCGTACAACCGTGCTAGCACTCAGACAGATGTACAGTAGTAGTGCAGGTGGCAGGAGGTGGTATTAGTCATATTAGTAGAACGGTAGTAGTAGTAGTAGTAGTAGTGGTGGTGGCAGCAGCAGTAGTAACAGGATAGTAGTGTAGCCCCACACCTGGGACTGCCGTCACTGCCCCAGTGCATCGCATTGGGAGACAGATGGACAGAGAGAAAGATACACAGTGACACAGAAACATATTAAACATGGAGAAAAAACCGTTACAGCACCGGTGACAAAAGATGTTACGAGCCTCGGAAATGATGGTTTCAGTGTGTATCAGTAGGAGCTGCAGTGTGGTGCTGATCAGCTGCTGGAAATAAAGTTGACTATACTGTGGCTTAGATATTAACAGCTGCAAAAAAAAGAGTTTAAGCAATTAACCCTCTGAACTCCAAAACCAGTCGGTAGGTTTGAAAGACCTGTTATTTAAAAAAAAATAAAAATCACTAAAATCACACCGTTTATCGGAGCAAGAAACTGCAAAAAAATAAAAATTGGCGGATTTTCATGCGGAACTTTTCACGCTGGTCTGGAAAAACAACCAAATCTGAGCTAATTCTTTAAAATCCCTTTTATTCTGCATGTTTCATTTAAAAATCTGCCCAAAATTAAAAGTCTGCAGCAACAAGATTCTGCAAAAAATGAAAAATTCTGAGCTCCTCGGTGCAGCCGTGAAGTCATTAGCTGTGACCAACAGTCCTGTGATAAAAACTCTGGGACTTCTCGGCTGAACTGCAGGAAGTGTTTCCACAGCACACAGGAGATAAAGACGGAAACAAATAAAAAAAACATAAGCAGTTAAATATCTACAGTATATAGAGCAGCTCTGGTCCTCGCGAGCTACTGTCCTGCAGGTTGTAGGTTTTAGCAACACACCTGACTCACATGAATGGATCTCCAACAGCTTGTTGTCAGGTTCTACACAAGTCTGTTAATGATGCATCAATGTGGGTCAGGTGTGTCGCAGTACGGAAACGTCTAAAACCTGCAGGACAGCAGCTCATGAGGACCGGAGTTGGAGATCCCTGATGTAGAGTCGCCACTTTTTCTCCATTGTTGGTAACACTTAGAAAAAAAATTGTGCACCATTCCATTTTTAAAAAACACAACAATCAAATTAACATTAAAAACAAAACAACTTATGGTATTCTAACTTTGCAAAACTGCACAAGACTTTTTAATAGTTGTGCTGCTTCCAAAGAGCTTCCAAAAAACGAGCCCACAGGGAATAAAAATGTGTCAGAAGCAGAGAAAAAGTTCAGGAACTGTTTGGGGTTCAGTGGGTTGACGTAAATCCGACTCAAGACGTATGCGGTCAGTAATTTTACTGTTGTAACGTGTTTGCATTCTGAAGGCGTGTCCATGTTTGGTTGAATCTGTCATCAGTAGCATTTTATTGCTCGTCTCTGGCACACATCTTGTATTGTTAACATCTGTTGTGTTGTTACCGACGGCCCAGAAGTCACTACAGAGCCAGTTGAAAATAACTTTAAACTTATACTGACAAAAAGAAAGGCAATAAAGAAAAACTACACACTGATGAAAAACAAAGCCTGAGTGTGTCAAACTAAAGCAACAAGCCTTGAAGTTGGGAAGAAAATGATTAATTATTTTAAAAGGATGATTTTTCTGCCAATTTAAAGAAAATCACGACAAGATTAAAATTAGCCAAAGAAGATGAGCAAGAGGAAAAAATAGGGACAAACAAGGATGCCAAGTGAAACAAAACGTCTCATTTCCACCCTGCTGGGGGCTGATAATGGTGTCGTCTGTGTCGTGGCTACGCTACCTGGAGTCACTCCCCCAGTGCATTGCATAGATCTTGGCCAGGTGGCCCCTGAGAGTGCGTCGCGTCCGCATCTGTATCCGGCCCACCGAGTCCAGACCAGCTGTGATCTGCCAAAACACAGGAAGAAGCAGTTACACTTGAGGCTCACGCGCTCTTATCACCGCTGGACACGAGCTGAGGCTGCAAAAACAGTCACTAAACAATAGACGGGGATGAATAATACGGAGGCTCACACTGGCCCACGACGTCTGTATGTTATTTATATGGACTCCGTGACAACGTATTCCAGTTACTCTGCACTACTGACTAGATTTTTGCTATTTTTCACACGTTATTCAAAGTAAAACTGCCTCATCTGGCTTCAAATTTAATCAAACACAGCTACAGCATTGAACCACACAGTGTATAGTTTGCTTACTGACATGTTTTGCCCTAAAAAACGCTCTCTATTCGTCATACAAATATGATCCTATTGCATTGCTGACTTCACAGGAACAAAACTTTATAAGCTAATACGTATGGAGGAGAAACGTTCTCACCTGTGACAGAGTGGAGTCACTGCAGGCTTTCCTGGCATCCTGCAACAAAACAAAACCCTTAATAATGATGTAAATATTCCAACTTATTCAGAAAAATCCATCAGTGCCTCCAACCTGACCTCCTCAGAATCAGTTTTTATGTGCAATAGCTTCAGTACTTTTATTGAAGTCATGCAAAGTTTTACTTTGACATGAAATATTTTCAGAGCTGCAGGCCTTTGACGTACATAAGGGTGGGTCTAAGTTTTATGGATTTAAAGTGTGATTTTTTAAATTTTATTTCTGAGCCTCATAACTTCAGCAGACAGATATGTGACATTTTCAGGGATGAAAAACACATTTAAGTTCTGATAAAAACCTGCACCCATCCAGGTGCCACAATCTAAAGACTACAATCTTGTTTTTGTGCTGCATTTTTTCCCCCCATAACCAAATTTGAGCATCAATATTATGGGATGCATCCTCATTTCAACAGCAAAACTGTTTAGCAGTTTATTATCTACGACATAAGAGTTGTAAAAACAGTCACTGGTACCCTGGATGTGTTTCTGTAAAACTTTACCAAGTGCATTCTGGGTAAACTTTCAAGGCTGATGGTGGTTGGTCAAAACAAGCAAACTCTCATTTTCACCTACATTTTAAAACCAGGATCATCTTCTAGACATCACTGGTTGCAGTTTTAACAGACTTCAAATATGTTTTTCATCCTTATGAAGCTATGAGGGCTCAAAGATGCAGAGTGCGACTTAAAGGTGTGTAATTTGAACCCTCCTCTATGTGCTTCAAGGGTCTGTAACTCTGAAAACAGTCACAGTATGAAGGTATCACTTTGCATGGCTCCATTAAATATAGTAAAGATATTATACATTAAAAATCAGTTGTTTCTGAAGTGGTCATGTGGGATTTTTTTTTTCCAATTTGGTTGAGTTTATGTTTGCAGACACAATTTAGAGAAAAATGACTAAAGACATAATCCCATGACATTTACACAGACTGACCCATGAAACAAGACAAATTACAAGAAAAGAACAACTGTGCTGATTTACTCCAATCAGCGCTCACACAGCAGCATTTATAGATTCCTTCCCAGAATCCACTTTCTGTATGACAATGACAAGTTATAGGCATCACTGTCTTGCTTGTGGTGGCACATGCATACACACACACATGCACACACACACACATAGAAGAACATAAACGAGCACGTGCACACGACGCGCGGCCGTACCCGGATCTGGTTGCGTAGCTGCTCGGCTTCCTGCCGCAACTGTTCCAGCTCGCTCATTGTCCCTCTGTGGCGTGTTCAGGCCTCGCTCGGCTCCAAGCGCTGACCGCGATGGGATGACAGAACGTGCACGCTCACACACACACACGCGCGCGCTGGCTCACTCACACACACACACACACACGCACACACTCACTCACCCACACACGCACACTCACACACACTCACACGCACACACCAGCTGACACCTGCAAAACACAGAGACAGGAATACTGTGAGTGGAACAGGCGGAGGGACAGTCGAGGATGGAAGCGCTTCCATCGGACAAACATCGGTATCCTGCTCGGGGGGGCTGCCGGGCAGGGGAGGGCGGGGCGGGGCTGGGTGGCGGCCTGGAGGGTGGTCTGGCTCTTCAAACACCCTCAGTCTGGTTCAAAAGGCCATCTGAGCCAGGCTCTGACCTTTCCTCACTCAATCAGCCTTTTGTGTTGTTGCAATGCGCTTGTTTGCTCGGCCTGCAGCACTGAGTGTGTGTGTGTGTGTGTGTGTGTGTGTGTTGTGTTGTGTACTGTGGGCAGATCTGGATGGTTTATTAGATAATATGTTCAGGAGACAAAGAAAACGTGTGCACAGATTCATCAGCAGCATTCATCTGAACGTGACAAAAGCTCTTAAACATCACGTGAAGCAAAAGTTGACAAGTAGTGACCTCCTCAGAACCAGCAGATTTTTTAAGTACAATAACTTCAGTGTATCTAATGAAGCATTTAATGCAAATTTTAGCAGCATATTGTTCATACTTTCAGAGTTATAGGATCTTGAAGTACACAGAAATGCATAGACATCTGTCACAGAAACTTCAGGGCTTGATGACACATTTAAACTCTGTTAAAACCTGCAACCAAATCTCTATTTCACAGCCGCAAGCTACATGCACAAGTGTCAAACTACGCCTGTATTTGATAAATTATAAGAAGGAATCGAGTCTAGAAGATGATCCTGGTGTCAAATGTAGGTAAAAGTTAAACCTGTCATTGTCTAAACTTGTTTTCATAAAACTCCATCATGAATGAGCTTTGAAAATTTACCCAGAATGCACTTTTAAAAGCTTTCTCTGGTGAATGATCAGAAACCAGAAACACATCCAGGGTACTGATGGTTGTTTCTATGACTCTATGTCATGAAATGAACAGGAATAGATTTTAGACTGTGTCACCTGGATGGATGTAAAACTGATCTGGTTGCAGTTTTTATCAGAACTCAAACATGTTTTCTTTTTTTTTCAGCTCTGAAAATGAGTCTAACTGCTGCACTGATGAAGCCATGAGGCTCAGAAATGATGGAAAAAGAAAAAAAAATAAAAACCAAAAAATGGTGAACCCCCCCTAAGGAACTCAAAAAACCGCAAACCCGGAAAAAATCAAAAGAAGAAAGGAAAAACTTGCAAGGCCTCAATAAAAAAAACAAAACTCCCGGAAAATTAAAACAAATCTACTGATTCTGAGCATCAGGAGGAACTTCTTCGATCCACAAACACGTCACAGTTAGTTTATAGAAAATAACTTCTGACCTCAGAAGACCTGTGTGGACAAATCTGGAAAGTTTTCTAACTAATATTATTTGAAAAAACACAAATAAAAATCCTGCTTCAGCTCACGATTCACTGTGTAACAGATCTTAAAGGTGAAGGATCTTTGCCACAAGACACCATGAAAACTAGGACAGCATGAATTTATAAGAAGCGTCGAGACAGCGGCTGGGTCAGATGTGCTGAATAACATTCGCTAATTGCATTGTTTCAAACTGCAATCTGAGGTCAATTAAGCGCCGAGCCTCCGATCGTGTGCCTGACTTAAGTGTGTCAGACGGAGCATCCCTTCATGCGTGCACGTACGAGCGTGCACGTGCCCCTTCTTTTTACCTTGGGGAGCCCGAATGTGGGTCACGCAGCACTTAGACACTCCTCAGAAATGTTTGGAGCGACGCACCCCCCTGGTTTTCCGGGCTGTTCTACAGTCTGCTGTCCAGAAGTCTAACCCTCCGAGATTAAATTTTCAGTTCCATTTTCTATAATTCAACAATTAGACCGAGTCCAGCCCTTCCTCTCCACAGGAAATCATGTAAATGTAAAGAGGAGGATGTTTGTGCTTCGTCTTCCTTTCTGCACAGGCTCTTACTCGCTCAACACAAATCACAAAATAACATCATTTTGCAGATAGTAAGTAAAGAAGATGCGTAGTTCAAGCTGCTCTCGTTGACTTTTTTAAAGACGCCGTGCATTTATCAGGACAGGAAGCCAACATTTAGACTCCCAGTTGGGTTGGTTTGGCCCGTTCCTGGACTCTAGTCGGGGTCTCTGACAGTAACGAGGGATTGCAGCGGTCTCGGCTGCCCAGGAGTGACGTCACTCTCCCCTCCGGCTGACGCAACCCCCTTGAAGAGAAGCTCTTGGCGTCGGCTCGCCTGTGATGTGCTGCTGCTCTGTGACTGATGCCGTTCGCCTCTCAAATCTGCCACGTCACACACGGCGCGTCTTGCAAACTTGAAACACCCAGCGTGACCTTCGACGATAAATAATTTCTATCAATGATTTCAGCTCGAGGCCTGAGTCGTGAACAGAGCGTCAGAGAGCGATGACGTGGGAAAAACAACGCACGCGGCGGTCGATAAGGCTGAAAAATATTCCCGTCAGTTTGGATAAAACTGGTCTGACTCACTGCTATGAGTTTAACGAGGCTTTCCCTTCCCTTTCTGCTTTCTGCACGTTTTTAAAATCCAATTTACTACGACAACCAGCAGACAACAATCTACACACTGAAAATGTAAAGTTTTGCTCAAGAATTGCACATTTTTTCCAGTGGATTTACCATTTTAATCACAGTTTGCGCCTCCTTGTGTGCATATTTTCCAACGAAACAATTCCTCCATCACTATTTCAAGCAGCATCCTTCGCTTGGCTCCACCCGAAAAGATTAATTAAAAGAAATACAATCAAGCAGGACGGTTTTCCCACAACAACAGAATGATATGAATTATGTTCTGGAAGCAAGACTAGGCTCAACCTGACAGCCACATGAAAAGACGTTTAAAAAAACGAATCCGGACACTGAAAACTGCTCCTGTAAGTAAGCACAGGCAGCAAAAAGAAGCTGTCATACAGATAAACGGCTCCTAGAAAAGGTCGAGTTTACCTTTAACAATTTATAGCCCTCGCTGAGTGCGTGTCTCTGCTCCGGTTGTGTGACTCGAGTCGTGCTTGGTTACAACAAAGGCCCAGAGCGTGGCACTGGATCGGCGGCGACAAAGGCGGAGCTGTGCGCCGGAGCTGCCCATTGTTTAGTATGTGGCTGCCAGCTACAGTCGATCGGGCTGCTTGGCACCGCCGCAGTCGGGGCTCTGCGACGGGCCACAGAGTTGGTGCTGCTCGGCCCTGATGACTACATCCCATCATCCAACCCTCCATCCATCCATCCTGGTCGGCCTGATGCTCCCACCAGCCAGCGGGAGACCGAAACAGCTGCCGCCAGATGTTCAAGACGACTTGTAGGAACAGGCTTTGTCCCGTTAATAAAGCTGAGAATAATCACTTCTCCTCCATGAATCTCAGATATTAGTTCACTAGAAATGTTTGCATATCACTTATTTAAAAAAAAAAAAAAAGAAAAGCTTCAGTTTCACTTCATGTTTGTGATTATTTGCCAAAATGTAGAGCTGAAATGAGGCTTTTTTTGTATTAAGGAGCTTATCTGCAGTTATATTACGACATCCTAATGACTGACGAAACAGATGTGAAAAATAATAACATAAATTATGTGAGAAAATATTTTAAAAATGGCTCAAACTATAACAATAGAAAGGAAAAAATGTATAAAATAACATTTAAACGCACGTTCGACTGGCATATTATAAAAGATATGTGGCCTGAAGTGCACTTTTTGAAAAATAGTGACTGATTAGTGGAAAATTAATTAATTATCTGACAATAAAGCTCATTTTACAGCCCACACACACAAACACAAACTTAATGCAAGAAATCTTTGGATTTGTTTGGTGTTTATATCTAATAATATATATATTCAATTCTCAGTTTGTCAGGTTAATTCATGTGATTGTTAATATTGTCAGGCCTTGAATTTTAAAATAGTTTGGTTAATCTACAAAACTAACAGTACTGTTGGGTTTTAGGATTATTATTTATTCTAGGTATATTTTTATATAGTTTGTTTCAGGGGTTTTATTCCTTGATATTTAAATTTTTCAGGTAAATTCACACAATATATAAATCTGTAGCTTAATATTTAACAGCTGCTTCCTTAAATGTGCCGTAAAATAACAGTGACTTGACCTGAATAATGCCAACAATTGTTTGTTGTGAGAAACACTATATGCTGTTTTTTTTTAATATAATATTGTTTTTATCGGCTCCTGTTGGCTCTTTTTTTACGATAAAATCCAGTTTTACAACAGGGCGGTGTTCATTATGCAAACTTTCATTTTCAGTTTTACACCACCACCTCACAGAGGTGAAGAAATAAAGAACGAGACATCTCCTTAATTTCATCACGAAGCAGAAACGACTCGCTACTCGTTTCGCTGTTCTCGTAACACGGCCTGGAAATCACAGGAAAGATGCTGATTCACTGTTTGTTCCTGCTGATTCATCGATAGTTTAGACCAAAACCACTGCCAAAAGAAGAGCAAGCGCTGCGAGGGAACTCCAGAGGACGATCCCGGAGGATTTGCGTCAGATCGAAGCCTATTTTGTACAAAATCTAAATTTAACAGCTTCCAAAAATTGTGAGGAAATACTACAACATAGTGCAACAAAATAAAATGAGCTGGAAGTTGAGGAATGCGCATCATGAGCAACAAGATCCGGTCAAATTCTTACACCATGTGTGCACTTAGTATATTCATATTTATCGCTATTAAAGTCATAGTTACCCATAGTTTATCTCCAGATGTAATGACATTTTTAAAAGGTTAGAAAACCTGTAGACTTTCTGCACATATTTCACTCTCGCAATATATTATTATGATTTGAATTTTCCCGATTTCGATGGTGGTGAACGTGTTTGTGTCAGCTTCTCCTTGTTAACTGTACACATCTGGACTAGAATATCTGCTTAAAGATGTCACTGTGTATTTTTATTGTTAGCATTCGACAATTTATGGTGCATTTACACCATATTCTACACTTTA